CCCCCCCGCCCCAGCTCCCTACCCTGCCGCCCGGTTTTCTTGATTCTCTGACCTGCCGTGTAAATATTGAAGAGGATGGCGCACCTGTTAGGGTCTGATCTCTCTCACTGCCTCACAGCACGAGATCTGATTTATCACCAGCACATAGAGGAGTGTCCAGCACAGCGCAGGAAGGAGGGAATAAGGAAACGGGGAAGGAAGAAAATAAGGAAGAAGGGAAAAGAGGAAAGAAGGAAGGAAGGAAGGAAGGAAGGAATTCTAGATGGAGGAAACTCGGGGAGGTTGTTTTTTCAGAGCCTCCAAAGTCAATGCAACCAATTAGAAAGCTTTTGAATCATATTCAATTACAATAATGTTCATGTCAATTCCAATCCTGATATTCCGCTGAGACCGAAAACAAACCGTATCAATCATCTCCTCGCCTCCTGTGGTGACCGCCTGAGCCCTGGTTTCATTGTATTTCCTCCTTTGCCAGAAAGGCAATTGGTTAAAGCTATAATAAAAGGCAATTTGATTTTGTAAACCCTTTTTTCACACAAGACTTCAGAATTCAGGGAGTACCAACAAATCGAATCTCTGTGTCCTAATTTGGGGTTTGAGACACAGGGCGGCCATTCTCAGAAGAGGGCTGGGGAGGGGCCGTCTCTGCCGGCCTGGGGGACTGGCGCTTACCTTCCAGGGGACAAAACCGAGTCACCCTCTCGGGCATCAGCAGTCCCAGCTTGTGACGACAGTAGGTCTCCCCGATCTCCTGACGGCAGTGCTTGGACTTGGAGCGGGAGAGGGCGGAGATGGCCTCCTTGCCTGAGATGTCGCACTTGGGGGGCTGGTCATGCTTGATCTCCGGGGAGCCGCCCCCGCTTTTCCTGGAGTGTGGCTGTCTGGGGGCTTCCCTCCCACGGCTGCTGTTCGCTGGGGCTCTGTCGCCAGGCGGCAGCACCTCGTTGGCACCTTTGCCTGGGAGCGGAGGTCCCTGCCCCTTCTCCTGCTCCAGCTTCCTTTTCAAAAGCTCCTTCGGCCTGCTCGGGGGTTTCTTCGCCAGCTCGGGCGGGTGCTTCTGCTTTTGCGTCCTGGGTGCGAAGTTGCTGTTGTCCACGGTCTCAAAGTCTTTGGGGACCGAGTTTTCATTGTTACTGTCTGTCCGCACTTTCTCTTTCGGCCGGTGAGAGAAGTAGCCATCCTGGAGGGGAGAGGAACGAAACATGGAGGGGGAGACACGTTACTGGGCGATCGCGCTGAGGAGGTCGGCCCCGGGAGAGCAGGGCACAGGGGTCTGCGAGTCTGGGCCCCGGGTTCACGCCCTGCCTTTGCGACAAGCTTAATGTCTCTCTGGGCCTCGGTTTTCCCCATGTGGAAACACGATATGCTCCAACGAGAAACTAGGCTTTTGCAGCTGCTCAGGGGCCCGGATTAGGGTCCTGGGTGCCTGTCACTAATTAGCCACACCTCCCTTTCAAGTTAAGTTTCTCCTTGACTGTCTCTGCCACTGGATTACGGACGTGTTGGTCCAGCTTCCTGCTGAAATTTCAGCAGAGAACGCTGGGATGGCGTATTGAAGGGCTGGCCATGCCATTATCAAGATATAAGGGGAGGAAATGTGGGTAGGATGTTATATACAATACATCTCACTGCCTTTAGGGCATGTTCACAGGCCTGTGAGAGAAATCGGACCTGGCCACGTCAGCTCTGAGGGAGAGACATCACTTGGCATTTTGGAGAGCATCCTGACACTCAGTCTCGGGGAAGCGCACACGCGTGACATTTCCTGTGTTTGAGCTTTGACTCCTGACGTGTGTGTGCGCCTGGAGCTGAGCTGATTAAGTTGCCTGGGGCTCAAGAGACTGGTCAGGCGTCATTCTGAAGACAGTGCATAGTGTGGGTCTTTCCAGGAAGGTGGGCACCCCAAATCAGCTGCCTTCCGACCGCCCATTACCAAGCCCTTAACCTGAAAGCGTAGCCACTGTCCCAAAGCTGGCCCTCGAGGGGATGACCTCCGAAGCCACAGAGAATGCTAATTGTCCCATAAATCTACCCCCATTGCTAGAGAAACACGTGGGCCCTGACTAGAAATCTGAGGGGAGACTCCCCTGTCAGTTTTCCTCAATGTGCCCACTAAGGGCTCCCGAGGAAGAGAATGGCGGGTGCTGCTTCCCCGGGCGAGGCTGGCACTCAGCATGGCTCCACCTTGAGCAGGTCGGCAAACTCCCCTGGGGGCCACATCCCACCTGTCACATGTTTTGTAAATAAAGTTTCATTGAAACATGGCTACGCCTGTTCTTTTATGTATTATCTATGGCTGCTTTCATGCTATGCTAGTGAGCAGTCACGACGGAGACTGTCTGGCCTGCAAAGCCTAAAATATTTCTGTGTGGCCCCTTAAGCAACGGCGTGCCAACCCCAGCTGTCCAGGAGACTGAGTTTAGAAGACGCCCCTCCCCTGAGCCTGGTGTCGCCAGCTGTGTCCCCAGCACACCCACCCATTCGGTTCAGCGGCCACATGCGGCTGCCCCCTTCTCGTCTTTGCCACAACAGTAACACCCCTCATGGCTACTCTGTAAGTTAAATGTTGCTATTATTCTCATTTTACAGGCGAGGGAACTGAGCATCAGCTAACAAGCGACTTGCCCAAGGTAACGTGGCTAGCTGGTGGAGAACCTGGGGGTCCCAGCCAACCCGGCACAAGACCTCCTCCCTTGCCCAGAACCCCAACGGCCACTTCCAAGAAGCTGCATCGCCGTGTCCCCTTAAACACTGCAGCCTGGCTTTGTGCCACGGGATCTGGCCCCCTTTCCATCCACTCCCTCCCAGCTAAACGGATCTGGGACAGACGTGTCACCTGCAAATGCCATCGTAAGGCTGGCTGGTGGCCCACTGAGTGCCGGGGAGTCCATGAGAGGCAGAGAGGAGCCTTGACACACCAGAAGCTCGGGGCAGCAGGGGCTGGGAGGCAATGGGGTAGGAAGAAGGGAGCAAAGCGACGCCGAGAAGGGAGAGCTGGGTCCGCGCTGGGTCACAGAGCGGCTGCTGGCCACACACAGGGGCTGGCATTACATCCTGGTAGGTGACGGGGACCTTCCAGCTCTGACACTTGGTTCTGACCTTTCTGACCTGTCCTGGCACCCCACCGATATTCCTCTTCTCCCTCCTTTCTGTTCAGAGACCCTCCGAGAATCCTAAGCAGCCTCTCAGATGCATTTTCTGAGCGCCCGCCATGAGCCAGACCCCATATACTAAGTGATTCACTGATATTACTTATTGGATCCTGACAATTACCCCCATAAGGACGTAGGTACTCCGCCTGCCATTGAACAGAAACAGCGGCCAAGGTGCTCTTACAACACTCTTGAGCACGAATCAGATGCCAGGCACGGGTGCCAAGCCTCTCTCGGTGACATCTCATTTGCGCTTCAGAAATAACTTCCAAGGCAGGTACTGCTATTCTCCCATCTTATAAAAGTGGGGAAAGCAGCTTGGGGATGACCAGCAGGGGGAGGCCGTGAACTTGCACCTGCCTGAGTGCCAACCTTGCCGTCGTAGAGTGCCTCTTCTGTTTGGCTGAGAGGAAAACCAAGGGGCATTGAGCTCCCCCTTTTCTGTGGGGGAAAGTGAGAGGGGTTTAGGGGTCTCTCCCTGTTTGCTCATGTTAGCCTAGGTTGGGATGGAGCTGGGTGCAGGGATGGTATTCAATAAAGTGCTCAACAAATATTCCAGTTCTCTTCCTTCTAGGCACACAACGGGGTTGTACTTCCCATCCCCTGCAAAGGAGGCACAGCCGAGCAACTGGCTGCAAGGGGAGTGGGGGTCCTGCAGCCCTGAGCGAGGCCGGTGTGGCGCAGAGACCCCAACCCACCACCCACGGGCAGAAATAAATGTGTGTCGCTTTCCGCCACTGAGAGTCGGGGATCTTTGTTACTGCAGCATGGTTCAGCGCATTCCGATTAATACAGGAGCCAGCCTGAACTGCTTTCTTCCTTCCAGCTGTCCGTAGATGCAAGAACCATTCTTTTTTTTTTTTTTTTTTTTTTTTTTGCCTCTAACAGTCAGAAAATCAGTTTGACGACTCCCACTAAGAAAATGAATTTAAATTCTGTCCCTAAGCCCATTGTCTGGAGGTTAACAAAGGGGCAGAGAGGAAGCAGTAGAGAGTGAGCCTCTGCCCCTTGCAGCCACCTGCGTCGCCTCTCATCAGACACGTCCTAAGTGAGATTCTTGGGCCATCCTCCTTCCTCATTAACTCAGGATTGCAATTTGGCCCCCCGAGCAGAAAACCTCCATAAACGACTGATTTCAAAAGCTCGCACTCACTACCACCTCCTGGGAGAACCTCAGCAAAACCAGACGCGAGAAACACTGCCATCGGCGGAGCCCATCTGACCATCAGAGGATGGCCGATTCCTCTGGTTAATGTGTGACAATCAGGACCAGGCGTCACTGTCGATTCGAACGCGGCTCCTGATTTATACACGTCTTCTATGCAGAGAGGCCCCCACACTGGGGAGGAGGGGCTTGGTGTGGCCCTGGGGCCTGGCCCCAGACGCGACTCACTGCCTCAGGAAATCAAAAGATTTGCGTGGGGCCGGCAAAGAGGCTCAGTTGGTTAAGAGCATGAGCTGTGAGCAACAGCATTACAGGTTTGATTCCCACATGGGCCAGGGAGCTGCGCCCGAGCTGAGCTGCCGCTGAGCTGCCAACAGGTGGCAGGATGGCTCAGCTGGTGAGAGCGCGTGCTCCTAACAACAAGGTTGACGGTTCGACTCCCGCATGGGATGGTGGGCTATGCCACCTGCAACTAAGATTGAACACAGCACCTTGAGCTGAGCAGCCGCGAGCTGCCGACGGGCGGCCGGATGGTGACTGGACTTGGAGCTGAGCTAGCTGCACCCTCCACAACTAAGACTGAAGGACAACAACTTGGCTGTTCCCCTTCCCCAATTAAATCTTAAAAAAAAAAAAAAAAGTTTCGCGTGTAAGAGGGAAGGGATGTATTTGGTCTTCTGGGAGGAAGAGCCCCCAGACGTGAGACAGCTTCCAGAAAACTCAGAGAGAGGCTCAGTCAGGGGGAATCAGACATCATTCAGAGGCCCGAGAACTCCTGTCACTCAGAGTCAAGGCTGTTGTTTGCAGAAACCCGTGAGTTCTCCCTCCACTTTCCCTCTTTGTAAAATTTTATTTTGTTGTGGTACGAACGCGTGCCACGAAATCTGCCCTCAACACATGCTTAAGTGCACAAAATACACTTATTGCTCTCCACAGGCACGGTATCTGGAACGCACCCATCTTGTATAATGGTGACTTCATGATCAGCGAGTCCCTGCTCCCTCAGCTGCCAGGCCCTGGAAGCCACTGTTCTACTCTCTGCTTCTACGGACCTATTTTAGAGTCCTCATCTAGGAGGGGCCCTGCAGTCCATGTCCTTCTGTGACTGGCTAACTCCATTTAGCATCCTGTCTTCCAGCTTCGTCCGTGCTGTCGCACATGGCAGGGCTTCCTGCTTTTCAAGGCTGAGTAATATCCCATTGTGCGGAGAGCGCGCCTTTTCTTTATCCCTCCCTCCCTCGATGGACGTGAGATATCACCTCACCTTCTCCCCTAACTCTTCATCTAACAGCCAGGAGACAAACAGGTGTCGGCTTTTGTCACCGCTCCAATCCTCTCCTAAAGGACCAAGCGGGCAGTACTGGTCCTGATTAAGGGAGGGAGACAAAGGCACAGGGAGGTTAAATAATTTGGCCAAGGTCACACGGCTAGAAAGGGACTCAAAACTCTCCATGCCTCGGTTTCCTCATCTGGAAAACGGACATGATGATACTTACCTCATGGGTAATCTGGTGAGAATGGATGTATATACCACTTCCTGAACGTGTCCACAGCCCAAATCAGGGGGGGCAATGAGCTGCAAACCCCGATTAGGCTCACTGCTAATTAACATCGGGCCTCAGCCAGCTAGCCCCTGACTGACGGTCTCTGCTTGGAGGACAGGCTGTTTATAATTTCTTCATTGTGAGCGACAGTTGTGTCCCCCTTTTCTTCTCAACCAGTCCAACCCGCTCACCTTGGGCTGTTTATGCAAATGCAGCCCTTTGACTTATTTTATTTTAATGTAGTTATTACAATGATTGCATTCAAATGTTTGTGTGAGAGCTTCAAAACTTTAATTGCTCTGGGGCTACCTCACCTCTA